AGGAGTGAGGCTCCTTATTCCATTCTCTGGATTCATAGCTGAGCAATCCATTCAGCCGAGCTTTTATCTTTCTCCCAGCTGTCTCCTGAAAACCCTCAGGGAGACAAAGCTGTGCCATCCCATCCCATGGGCTGCAGCACCCTGGAGGTGTGGGACTCCTGTTGTTCATGGAATTGCCTTTCCATTGCCTGTCTGCTCCAAGGGGCATCATCACATCCCATGCTCAGGGGCTGGACCAACTCCTCCTGGTGCATTCAGCACCCAAGGACTTCTCACCTGGAGAAATCTCCCACCAGAGATTACTTGGAAAGTTTTAATTGGGTGTCATAACATCCCTCCCAGGTAGACATTATTATATTATTATCTGCAATTTGTTGCTGGGGACAGTCAAGCCCAAACAGGGATAGTGACTTGTCCTAACACAATTTCATTCTGGCTGTGGCAGATACAAAGAGATAACCCCAGGCAGGCAGGGTGTTCTCCAGCTCAGGGAAGTCAAGGGATGAAACCCTTGGTGTTTTTGGTCACCAGGACTTGTTTGAAATCACTCTCTGCATCAGAGTTTTTTGAGCCACAGCAAATGAAGTTCTGGGGGTTCATCATCTGACAGTTACACCAGGGTATGTTTTAAAGACAAACCAGAGCTGACTCAACACAAAAGGCTCCTCTGATGGGAGATCACAAACCTTGAGGTTCACAGGGAAGATGAAGTCATGGGTACCTGCTCCAAGCACAGAGGCAAGCGACTCACTGAGAGTTTGTGTCTCTCCAGGGCTGCTCACACACACCTGGAATAGAACAGATTGCAAGTGGCACCGGCCCTGTGAGGTTCAAGGCTGCAGTGAGAGGCTGAGTCTGATGGAAAAGCTTCCTGTGAGGTGTACAGAAGAAATGAGGATCATTTCCCTCCCCACACTCAGCAAGATTCTGCTGCTGCCATGCTGCCCTTCTCCAAATCACCACAGCACCAGGAGCCAAGATGATGTGGTGACAAACAGCTCGATTTCACAGCTTCCTACAGAAAATCCAGGGCTATGAAAACAGAGGCTGTAGGTAACCAGCCTGCAGCACAGCACTCCCCAAAACTGAACCTGGATTGCTTACAAAAGCATTCCCACATGGAATTGCACACACACACATCATGCCCACGTACCTGAGCTCTGGTAAATCATTTAACTTGCTCTGTGCCTCAGTTTTCCCCAGCTGCACTAAGGAGCTGGCTTGAGTCAGGAGTGAGTTCATGGCTTTGGTGGCTGGAGCTGTACCAGCACTGGGCTGAGGATCAGCAATGTGTGAAGCCCTTTGAGGTCTGCCAGCATAACCTTATTCCAAAATCTGTTTTCCCTTTCAGATCTGACCCCTTTGACCTGTGCCAGTGCTTACCTGTGTCCAGCCCACCTGCAGCATTCCCAGAGCAGGTCAAAATCCTTCACAGGGGCTTCAGTTTTTGAAATCTGCAGCCAAGCTCACCTAAATTTGCTGATTTAGAAATAGCAGGATTAATCTGAATAAAAAACACTTCCATGGGAAAAACTGCCTCTCAGAAATGCCAGGCAGTTTAAGAAAAGGAGGAGGACAGAGTGAAGCAATCAAGCATCAATAAATAATAATTGATAAATAATAAGAACAGATAACAAAGAGGACCTTGCATTCCCCAGGAGTGCTTTGAGCAGTTATTTAAGGTCTAAGGTCTCCTTCTTCCCCTTTCTTTGGCTGAATCAACCCAAACTCCCACTTGTGCCCAGCCATTTGTAGCTTCCTGGGGTGGGGTGGGGTGACCCAGGGGTGCCCCATCCTGCTCACCAGGCAGGGCTGGAGCTGTGATTGCTTGGGCAGCAGCATCCAACCCTTCCTCATCAGCCTTTGTGGTGTGTTGGTGTGACACTGTGTGCACGAGCATCTCTGGGATGTGTTTCTGGGTTTCCACGGTCAGGAGTGGGACCCGACCCTGCCCGAGCTCCTGCCAGGGGGGCGAGGGAGGGAGAGCCGGGTCACTGTGGGAAAGGTGCTGTCCTACTCTGCCAAAAACGGGTGTCTCCTATGGCCGATCCCGCAGGGGGGGTGACGAGTGCAGTGACACGGTGTGACATTTCCATCCCACACGGGCGGCCCTCAGGTCCTTGCTGTGCCCGGCTGCTCCTTCTCCCGGGCGCTGCAATCCCCGCTCACATCGGGGCTGTTCAGCGCCTCAGCCTCACCGTGCAGACCCTGGCTCTGCCCCGAGGGGTCTCTGCCCTGCGCCGGAGCCGGGATGAGCCCTCGGCAGAGGCTGCGGGAGCAGCTCGGGGCTCGGCAGGCGCCGGGGGTCGGCGCTGGGGCGCGGGGCTGCCGGCCCGCACCGCTCTCATGCTTCCTTCTTGTCTGCAGGCTGGCTCAGGTGCTCCGATCACCTGCTGCTTGCGGGAGCGGGAAAGCAGCAACTGAAGATCGAGGGGGACTTTTGGTTTACTCAGATGACAAGAGACAATTTTGGTTCCCCAAAAGCCAAGGAAACAAAGCTGTCAGGCTTTAATGGTAGCTTGTCTCCCTCCTGCAGCATGTTTATGGGCAAACAAGCTGCAGATCAGACCAGGCAAACAGCAGCAGGTGAGGCTCAATAACAATAATTCGTGATTAATGGCGAATGTGGCTTTGTTTATTCTTGTTGTATCGAGGCAATGCTGTCTAATGGATGAAGCACTGCTGCAGGACTCCGGGGCCCGGCTCAGCTCCCAGCACTGCTGCCTGCTCCATGCCTCTCTCACATCCCCTGTGAGGGCACAAGCTCTACATGACACAGCCACCCTGTCCCACACCTGCACGTGCCCAGATCAGAGGGCTGCGGCCTTGGCTGAGGCTTCGAGGCAGAAGAGCAATGCCAAAATCCACGCTCAGTGCTGGTGCCTGCCTGGTTTGCTTGTGGCACAGAGCTGGGCTGATCCAGCTGTGCTGGGCTTTACCCTTCACAGCTCCAGGGCACAGCTTTCCAGGGCTTTGTTTCTGACAGTAGCATCATTCCTAAAAGCTCCAGTGCGTGTTTCCCGAGTGTTGTGTCTCCATGCTGCACATCAACATCACCTGTGCCTCTCTGTCACTGCCTGTGGGGTGCCTGGCAAGCGCAGAGCTGTATCCCACCCTGGCTCTGGTGTTAAGTCACCCTGGTGCCAGCTGGGTTTGCCTCCTCCCCAGATGCTGTGTCCCATGGATGTGTGGTGAGGCACGAGCCCTCTCCCTCTCCCTGCATGGCTCTGTGTGTGCAGATCCCTGGCCGTGCATGCAGCTTGAGTGCAGCCATGGCATGATCACAGGCATGCACGGATGTACCCAAATATAATCCAGGTTACAGAGTGGATCAGTTACATGCAGCTCTTCACACCATGCTACAAGCAACACCTGCTCCCCAGGGGAGTCTGGTTTGGGGGTGGCCCCTTCTTCAGCAGAACCCCATCAATGAGACCCCGCAGGGCCTCACAGCTCAGCAGCACTGCACGGGTATTTGCAAACCACGCTCTGACTTTTGATTTTAAGGGATCCCCTCGAGACTAACCTAACCTGTTCTGGGACTGCGGAAGAAAGCTTTGAAGTTGCTCCTTCCTGGAAATAGTTCTGGTTTCCTACGTCTCAGGGGAAGTTCCTGTGTTTGTTCTGCCCTAGACCAGCCTCAGTCATGGCAAACACTGACCACAGCTGCCAACTCCAGCAGGGCACTGGTGCATCTCACCCTTTGCTCCCTGACTTTGTGCAAGTTTTGTGCTGGGAGGAAACTCCGTGTCCTTCAGCTCCTTTCCATTCATCCCTTAGTCTTAAAACATGAGTCATTTTTATGTAGCATGTGCTGATTTTTATTGCCATGCTAGAGAGTCGTTGAGCTGGATTTTCAATGTGCCGATTGTAAGCGCCCCCTCATAGGTCCAGTCCATGAACCCTCCCTGCTTAATCCTGGGGCTGCTGTTTCATTTTGGCCATATGTATTTCCTTTATAAACCACAGCAGTCACTGCTGCATTACTTGCAGGAACCATCTGACTGTGGAACAGTCATTCCTGAGGAAGCACAAAGAATGCCAGGGCTGAAATGATCTTTGGATTCTTTCAAAACCTTCTTATTTTTCCCCCTGAGTTAAATTGGTTATTAGTTTCAGAGCATAAAAACCAAAGAGATTTGGCACAAGTTTCACCCACAGTTTTAACTTACAAACCTTTATTGCATCTAGGAATGTTTCTTTTGGAATGACAAATGGGAAAACTGAGCCCCTTTGCCCCGGTGTCATGCCATAGGCCCAACAAGATGCTGCAGTTACCAGTGCCTGCCTAACCTTGTGTTAATTGACTTTTGCCCATTAAGCAAAGGGAAGTTTGTGCTGGATTAATTGGGTTTGATCTTGTTAAGCTTCCTTTAAGCCAGGGATGATGAAAGTTTAGGGCTGTGGCTATTTGTGGGGTTAATCCCAGAGCTGAAGGCAAAGGAACTCTTTCCCCTGGTTCCCGTGGGCACATAATGGAAGCAGAGCTCTGGGCCAGCCCAGCAGCTCCTGGGTTTGGGGCAGGGAATGGAGGAGGTTGATCCTGCCTGCTGGGATGCAGTGTGTGCTGGCACAGAGCTGGGCTGCAGCTGCAATCCCTGCAGAGGATTCGCATCCTGGCCAGCGGGACCAGCCACGTTTTGCCTGCCCACCCACCCCATGGAGCACCCAGAGGGGACAGGGAGGGCAGCTGGCCACAGCTCCAGCCATCCACACCATGGACAATCCTCAGGAGAGCAGCCCAAACCTTGGCTTTAATTACAGATGGGCTGGGAGCTGTGGGAATGCAGGCGAGGGCAGCGTCCAGGCTTCTTCCTTTCCTTCAACCTTTATTTAGTTTATTTTCATCACCCCACCTGGCTTCTCTCACTGAGGAAAATAAGGAACTAATGAGACATCCCAGCAGCAGTGCTGCTGTCTGGAAGGTGCTGGAGAGCTGCCTGGAGAGCCTGGGTCTCTCAGCCATGGTCTCCTCTTCTCTCCCTCTCCCTTGTCTCCAGTGCCCATCCCCTCGAAGGCCAACGGCACCACCATCTCCACGCTGTCCATGAACAAGGACGGCCTGATTGGAGGGGTCACCAATCCCAACGAGGTTTTCTGCTCCGTGCCCGGCCGCCTGTCTCTCCTCAGCTCCACCTCCAAGTACAAGGTGACGGTCGGGGAGGTGCAGAGGAGGCTCTCACCCCCCGAGTGTCTCAACGCCTCTCTCCTCGGTGGGGTCCTCCGCAGGTAAGCTGCCCCAAGAGCCCCAGGGTCTGTGTTCAGCACCAGCTCTTGCCTCAGATAAAGAGATGAGAAATTCTGGGGTGTGGTACATCAAGGAATAGTATTTTTATTGCTTTCTCTTCTGTCCTTGCAAACCTCAAAGCTTAAACTAGGATTATGGTTGTTTTAATATGAATTACGTGGAAATTTATTTTCCCTCTTTGTTTTCTCGTCTCAGAGCCAAATCAAAAAATGGAGGTCGGTGTTTAAGGGAAAGATTAGAGAAAATTGGACTAAATCTACCTGCAGGAAGGCGCAAAGCTGCCAACGTCACCCTGCTCACATCCCTCGTGGAAGGTAAGGGTCCCTCCCTGCTCCTGTGGAGGGTGGAGTGCCAAAACTTGTATCCCCTTAATTTCCAGCTTCCCATAAACCAGAACTCTTAAAATATGGAGTGGTCACCACTGAATGAGCACGGCAATGTCCCTGTGTAAGCCTCCACACTGATTCATGAATGTGTCCTGTTAAATGGGCAGACTCTTGGGAAGGCACTGGGCAGAACACAAATGAAACCAAGACAGCAAATGTCCCAGAAAATGTCCAAGCACATTTGCCCTGCCTGTGGTAGGAGGTTGGAACTGCATGATCTTTAAGGTCTCTTCCAAGCCAAACCATTCTAGTCTATGTTTCCATGTCTGTTTTCCAAAACTCAGCCATTTCTGTTGGATCAGGTGTGGCCCATGGAAAAGGGCTCCTCATGGATGCCAAGCAGGACTGTGAGCATCCTCCTGGCTGGAGCTCAGGGCATCCCTCATTTCTTTGAGCTATGTTTAATAGTTGGGTCACAGCGACCAAACACAAAAAAAGCCTGAATAAAGCTGCCAAGAATTTCCCAGCTGCTCTGCAGCCCCATGTGCCCACCTAAGGCACAGCTCAGGTGCTTCCAACCAGGCCACCCTTGGGCAGCATCCCAAGCTCAGGTCTGGGTGATGTCACCTGTAAAAGAAGGAAATGCCCACATCCAAGTCCTTCCCTGCTCCAGGAAATGAGTGAGACACCAAGGAGATGTCAAACTGCTCTGAGGTTTTGCAAGTGGAGCTCAGGTGTGGAGCAGCCACCCTCAGAGCTATGGAAAAGGTGCTGCCCTGGCAGGCAGAGCCCTGCCCAGACATGTGAGGTGCCCCTGCCTAACTCGGTCACTTCCTCCCCTCCTACTTCTCTCCACCATGGAAATGATGATGCTGCCTCTGCATCCTGGGAGAAAAGCACACACGGGGATGCAAACAAATGGAATGACAGCTCTGCCTCCCTCTGAGCTCAGGAATCCATTGTGTCCCTGCTCAGCTCGGTGCGGGCAGCTGCCTTCGGATCCTGAATAGAAAATCATCTCCATTGTCGCCAGCAAATTAAATGACCCGCTTCATTAGGCGGAGGTTGTTACCCAGGGCAGTTGGTTGTGCTGAATGAAAGGCTGATTTCCATGAAAAGAAAAGAAAGAAAAGAATGAAGGAAAGAAAGGAAGGAAGAAATGTACAGTTCGATTTCAAGTGGCTGCTGATGTTTGGGTTCCTGCTTCCCAGCTCACAGTAAATAGGAGTGTGGTTGATGGATATAATTTCCTCCTGCTTGTAAGCGTGATGGAACCAGGGGATGCTTCACCCAGAGGAAGCTGCTGCTGCACTGCCACCACCCAGCACACACAAACTGGTTTGTCCCCCTCTGCCCCAAACACGCTCTTTCCTGAACATTTGCCGTCTTGGTTTAATTTGTTTTCTCCCCTCTGCCTTCCTGAAGTCTAATTATTTAAAAGAGGCAATGGATGGGGTTTTGAGTGCTAATGAAATATTTTTTTCTTACACTGACCCACAGCCATTCATAGAGATGGGGAGGATGTTCCTGGAGAACTCAGGGAGCACCAGGTAGAAACAGCTCCCTTGGGAGTCCTCACCACGTACACCAAGCACTCGACCTCTCTTGGGCAAGTGCTCTGTGACAGCACCTCCATCCTGGACCCAAGGGAGCAGCAGGGCTGTATTTCCACTCCAGAAACACCCCTAAGCTCTTGGGAGGAGGTTTGCCCTCAGCCAGGCTCTTGCTGCCCTCCTGCCCACCGTGGCCCTCTGTGCACTCTCCTGCAGCCTCTCCTCCTCAAGATCTGGCTCAATGTGTCTTTAACACTAAACCCAAAGTGTCCTGTTCCCCCTGGCACCTCTCTAATCCAGCATCCAAACTGCCTCTAAAAAACATTAAAATGTGCAGCCACTCACACACTCATCGAAGAAATAAATCCTGGCTCCAGCCCTGGCTCTGACATGAGGTCACTCAGCTCTCTTTTATTATCCCAGTATCAGTTTTTTAGCAGTTATTCCTTCCTGACTCTTTTTTTTTAAACACAGAAATAACTGCAATTCTGCAGTCTTTGGGTTTACCTTATTTGCTCTTTCTCTGGAGGAGGAAATGAAGTGGAAAGTACTGTTGTTGTGTGGAAAGCAGAGACACTTCCCTGTAACAGGGCTCCATAGACTGAGCTCGGGGAGCTGGGCAGGCTGGGATGGGATCTGGGTTAATGCTTTAGGATGGATGGCCTAATACGTGTGAGCAGCAGGGGGGCAAGGCAAATTAGCTCTGCCTGCCCGACCGGGATTTCGGGTGTTGGGCATGATCAATGGCCATCAGCTCTGATTATTTCCACGGGACGCCTGGAGATGGATCAATCCCATCAATGGGTGGGCATTTCCAGGGGGTGATGGATACGCTGCCTGCACGTCCAGCCCGAGGGCCCTGTGGGGGATGTAACCCCCTTCTTCCTGCCCCTTCCCCCTGCCCCTTCCCCCTGTCCCTTCCTCCTGCCCCTTCCTCCTGCTCCTTCCCCCTGCCCCTTCCTCCTGCCCCTTCCTCCTGCCCCTTCCTCCTGCCCCTTCTTCCTGCTCCTTCCCCCTGTCCCTTCCTCCTGTCCCTTCCTCCTGCCCCTTCCCCCTGCTCCTCCTGCCCCTTCCTCCTGCCCCTTCCCCTGCCCCTTCTTCCTGCCCCTTCCTCCTGCCCCTTCCTCCTGTCCCTTCCTCCTGCCCCTTCCTCCTGCCCCTTCCCCCTGCCCCTTCCCCCTGTCCCTTCCTCCTGCCCCTTCTTCCTGCCCCTTCCTCCTGCCCCTTCCTCCTGTCCCTTCCTCCTGCCCCTTCCCCCTGCTCCTCCTGCCCCTTCTTCCTGCCCCTTCCCCCTGTCCCTTCCCCCTGCTCCTTCCCCCTGCCCCTTCCCCCTGCTCCTCCTGCCCCTTCTTCCTGCCCCTTCCCCCTGTCCCTTCCCCCTGCTCCTTCCCCCTGCCCCTTCCTCCTGTCCCTTCCTCCTGCCCCTTCTTCCTGCCCCTTCCTCCTGCCCCTTCCTCCTGCTCCTTCCTCCTGCCCCTTCTTCCTGCCCCTTCCTCCTGCTCCTTCCCCTGCCCCTTCTTCCTGCCCCTTCTTCCTGCCCCTTCCTCCTGCCCCTTCCTCCTGCCCCTTCCTCCTGCCCCTTCCTCCTGCCCCTTCCTCCTGCCCCTTCCCCCTGCCCCTTCCTCCTGCCCCTTCCTCCTGCCCCTTCCTCCTGCCCTGCCTTGTCCAGCAGTCCCAGGGCTGAGGTCACGCTGTGACCCTCCAGTTTCTCTTTCAATCTCTTCTCAATTTGGAGAGGCCAAGCAGGAAACTTGGGATGAAGCAGGGAAAGATGCAGCAGGGGATGTTCCCAAGTAAGAAATACCTCTGCTATTCTTCCTTTTGCAGCAGATGCCCAGAGTCACTCCTCAGCCTGCTCCAAGGCCAGCACTGTCTTGATGCTCTTATAAAACGTAGTAAAGGAAGGACCCAGCTGCTGTTTAGAGCTGGCACTGGCTCATCTGGCCCACACAGACTCATTTACAGATGAGAATAAGAAACTCAGTGGTATTTCTGCAGCAAGAGGTGATGGTGGGGAGAGCTCTTGGGTGGCCACTGAGACAGGGAAGGGCCCCGGTCTCACCAGAACTGAGCCCCAACAGTTCTGAAGCTCTACAGGAGTTCCCAGCTCCCAGTTTCCAGTTCCCAGTTCCCTGTCCCGCTGGTGCTGGCACAGTGCTGATGTCCCTCTGTCCTGCTCTCAGGTGAAGCCATTCACCTGGCTCGGGATTTCGGCTACGTCTGCGAAACCGAGTTCCCGGCCAAGGCAGCAGCAGAGTACCTGTGCCGGCAGCACTCCGACCCCACGGAGCTGCACACCAGGAAAAACATGCTGCTGGCCACCAAGTGAGTACAGAGGGAAGGGCAGAATTAGCCCCCAAACTTTGCTCTTCTGTGGGGAAGAGATGGGCTCAGCATTAGCCCCCAAACTTTGCTCTTCTGTGGGGAAGAGATGGGCTCAGCATTAGCCCCCAAACTTTGCTCTTCTGTGGGGAAGGAAGGTGTCCAGAAAGGGGACAGCCTGCATGGATTTGAGGGTTTGTTCTTGCATGGGAGAGGGTAACCCAGCCCTGGAGAGCATTTTGGTACTGCCTCATGTGCCCTTTCAAAGCTCTGGCTCCAGTTCTGCACTCAGGGGCTTTCCCCAGGCGGGAGCCAAAAACTCATCATGGGGAGGTGGTTGTTGAGGCAGAGAGCAGGAAAAGAACCCCAAAATACACCCAGAGGAGGTGTGGATGCCCCACACCTGAAAGCATTTAATGCTAGGTTGGATGAGGCTCTGAGCAGCCTGGTGTCCATGCCAGGGGGTTTGGAACTGGATGATCTTTCAGGTCCCTTCCAACCCAAACTGTTCTATCATTCCATGGCTGTGTCTCCTGCAGCTCTCCACATGCTTTATAGTGACCAAACCTCTCTCTTTCAGGCAAATTTGCAAGGAGTTTGCAGACCTGATAGCCCAGGATCGCTCTCCGCTGGGGAACAGCCGCCCCTCGCTGATCCTGGAGCCCGGCGTGCAGAGCTGTTTGACCCATTTCAGCCTCATCACCCACGGCTTCGGGGGCCCGGCCATCTGTGCTGCCCTCACCGCCTTCCAGAACTACCTGGTGGAGTCCCTGAAGGGGCTGGATAAAATATTCATGAACAGCACGGGCAACGGGCACACGGCCGGGGACTCCAAAGCGTCAGACAAAGAGGCGAAGCATCGGAAATAACAAAATTAACAGCGCTGCCTCCCCCCGGGGAGCCTCCCCCGGCACCAGAGGTGGCTCCAGGGAGAAGAAAGGTGACCCAGAGCACTGTTTTCTGAACTGCTGAGTTTGGACGTCATAAAGCAAACAAAGAAAAGACAGGGAAAAAAAGAAGATTTAAAGAATTTAAGAAGAAAGCAGTGCTAATGAACGTAGTGAGGTTGAGAGAAGCCAGGCTGATGGCTTTGGGGTTTTGCCTTTTTTTTTTTTTTTTTTTTTTGTAACGTGGATGCAGGAAGACAAGTCATGTGCAATTTGATTTTATTTTGCTTTTTTGAAAAAATAAAAAACCCATAGTGAAATCCTGGAATTTGTTCCAAGTGAAAAGACTGAGAGGAAAGAGCAAAAGCCTCATCAGTGCAAGACCCAGAGCAGGAGCAGCCGAGGGCAGGGGGATGGAGCCCTGGCTCTACCTGGATTTATCTGCTGGTTTTGAGGCAAACACCCAGGAAACCTTCCCATTTCCCCACCCAGAGCCCAGCCCCGACACCAGGCCAAGGAAAACTGCTGGCAGAACTGCTGTGGATTTAAAGCAGGTCCAGGCTTTGTTTACAGCTTCAGACTGAGACTCACTGTGGATTTTCCTGTGGGCTGAGGAGCCCCAAGGACACGGCACGAGGGAGGAACAACCACGCAGCCAATGGGTCCCAGGGCAGGACCGAGGGGAGTGCCCCTGAGTGCTGCCCTCCTGGCTGGGGATAAGGCAGGTGAAGTTAAACCCAGGACTAAACAAAACTCCACAACCCACAGATAACAGCACACAAGTTTCTAAATTTAGTAGTAATAATAATAATAATAATAATAATAAATAAAGCACAAGGAGCAGAACTTGAACCAGGCCAAACGGAACTCTTCTAAATCTGTATATATTTATTTATGTGTAATTAAAATCTGAAAGTTTTAAAATGTCCAGTGCAAGTTATTTATATCAAATTGAGTTGGGGTTTTTTTTTGTTTTGCCTTTTTTTGTTTGATTGTTTGTTTGTTTTGAGTTGGGTTTTTTTTCTTTTGAAAGATGAAAATCTTTGGATTTTCTGCCATTAGAAATGGGAATGAAGTTTTGGATCCACCAAACTGTAGCATGGACAAGCTAGGCTGTGATGATGATGACTCTAGAAGTTCTGCAGGATTTTGTACTTGCTGTTGTTTCTCTTAATGCTGCAATAGATGTACAACACCCACACTACAATGTCATTCTCATTCTCTTAATAAACCTCTTTTTATTTGAAGAAAGCACCTCCATCGTCTTTGTGAGAAAAGATCCTTTGCCTCTGTATATAAAATGGATTATATATTTTATTAGATGGAAATTATATAAAATTGCATAGATTGAAGAAAGAATTCCCCAGTTTCATGGCTGGGGGTTGAGTGCTGCCACAAAGAGAGCTTGGGGGTGACAGGAGCTGCTGTTCCTGCCCGGTGTCCCCAGCCCTGGCGCCAGTGGAGATGAATGAGTTTGCTGATGTTCCAGAACTACTCAGGGTAGTCAAATCTAAACCTGTCTGTGAGGAGCTGCAGAAGGACCTCATGGTATCAGTGATAAAGCAGGAGATAAAACAGCCCCACTGATCTCCAGGCAATGAAGCTCCAAATTGGTTTTGTTCGTGGCGTCACCACCAGCAGGACTCTGCGCCAGCTCCCAGAGCTTAGAAATAAACACAATGGGAATGGTCAGAAAAAGGATTAACAAAGCAAAAGCCAGATTATGTGTGCTAGCCCTGTGTTGCTCTGTCCTGGATGGCACTTACAGATCTGGTAAATTCCAGTGGGTAAATCCATGAGGAACTCAGGTGGGAGCAACTCCCACACGAGGCAGGACCAAGGGCTGGAGCTGCAGGAGGAAGAACATGAGCAGAATGTGACAGAGGTGTGGAAAATTATGGGATAAAAGAACACAAACAGGGAAAGATGACACCAAACCAAGAGGCAGGACACCCATGAAGTGGTCAGGAAGCAGATTTAAGTAAATTTTACGTGCCTCAGGTAAGAAGCTGTGACTTTTCACAGGAACAGGTGTAAAAATGGCTTTTGACACAAGAGAAGAGGGTGATTTTAGGGAGCCTCCTTGCTGCCTTCCCTACACATCATTGCTCCTCACAGAGGAGCAGCTGCAGGGACTCAGCTCTGGCAGCACTCCCTGCATTGGGCCCTTCTCAGAGCTGCACCCCACAGGTTTCTCTGGAGGTGCAGAACAGGCTGATGGTAATAGAGGGAAAACCCCAAACAGCCCCAAAAGAGACCACAGGAGGTTTGAAACACAAACCTCCATCTCAGGAAAGTGTGAAAGGAAACATTTAATGTCCTAATATAATCTGTGGGGATGGCTCAGCGTCAGAAACTTGCATCTAAATATTCCCTTCAAAGCTTAGGAAGGCATTTAAATTGGGAATTGGATTGGAAACGTCCCTTGGTATGAGGTTTGTGAAAGCAAAGACCTAAATGACGGGCTCTGCAGGTCTGGTTTTGCTCTGGACCTTCCCAAAGGAAGAGCCAAGAAACAAGGAGGAGTCAGGGAGCAGAATGGAAATATTACAGACACATCAGAGGCTTGTTTACACTTCAAAGCCAGTTTGGATAATGCAGGGCGTGAGCCAAAAGCACAAAAACTATTCCTATTTAAAATTATTCCAAAGTAGGAGTGCCCTGTTCTGCATCAGCATAATCCACATTTAAATGGATTATGATAAAGGAGAGTAAGGTGCTTTTGTGCTACAATACAGGTTTCCCTACATGGGGTTATTTAGGATAACTATGCTGAAATAATTCCATTTGCAGACATCCTCTGGTGCACGGTATCAGAGCAGAGCAAGTGACGCTCCAACACAGGATGAAAGTGTGTGTGTGTGTGCACACTGTAATATCCAGGCATGAAATATCATTTCCTAATTTAATCACATTATGCAAACCTGGCTTGGCTGGGGCACTTTGAATATCAAGGAATTCTTAGACACAGCACGGATGAGCAACGCAGACAGAGAATCAGGATCTGCCTCCAGTAATTACACACCACATCCGTGGGGTGGAAAATCCCTCCCTCCTCATTTTCCTTTTTGGGTACCTGCAAGTCTTTGGAATGTTTGATGAAGAACAGTCTGGTGCCTGAAAGGCCAGGACACCTCCAATGACCTGTGAGTGGGAGGAAGTTGCATGATTGGGATTCACTTGTTGATTCCACCCCAGGTGCTCAAGATGAGTAATGGACAAGTCACATAGGAGCAACTTTCTAAAAGCATCAAGACTCCCCAAAATTTTGGACACCCTCACTCCTGCAGGCCCACAGAGACACTTCAGAAGGGTCAGGGGTCATGCAAGGCCAATTCTTGTCTGTACTGGGGTCCCCTCTCAGCTCACTGTCAAACAAGGCCATCCCCTGACATGTCCTCTCTTTTTCCACCCTAAGAGAAAAAAAAAAAGCATTTTACACAATTGTGTAAAATACATAATTTTACACAATTTATACTGGCTCAAGCCCAGTATAAATTCCCACACCGATTACAAATATCATAGTGGGAAAATACATAGGATTGTGTCAATGAGTAAAAATAGATCCAGGCTCGGGGTTTCTACGCTTGTTACAGAACACGCTGGAATTTCAATTCTAAAGGAGAATGAAACAAAAAAAAAATGTTTTTTGAATTAATTTTGAATGAATGACAAATCCAAAACCACATACCAATCCTTGACAAGTGAAAAAGAAAAAGAGAGAAACTCTTCAATCCCTAAGAGTCAGCTGTCCCAAGGGCAAACCAAGGGGAACTTGGAGCTGTGACTGAGCTGCATCATTAACACCAGGGAGCAGAGGCTGTGCTGGAATTCCACACAGCTTTGGACAGACTAAATAATTACCTTTAAACAGGCACCTTAAAAGGAACAGGGTAATAACAGCTCTTGGTGTGAAACAACCCAATAACCAGAGTTTGCTGACCTGTAGTTAATGCATTCCTTCCTATAGGAGAGTCCATTAAATTCCCAGCTTTACATGCAGAATCCAGGAGCCACACAGCCTGTGAGCAAGGGAAGCTTTTCCTGGTGGTGCCACTGAATCAAAACACCAACACTGGAAATGTTTTCAAACCAGGCAGTGAAATAAATGTGATTTGTGAGGGTGACATGATGCTCCTGAGATTATTGATGTAGACCAAAACACCAACCCTGGAATCAAACACCAACACTGGAAATGTTTTCAAACCAGGCAGAGAAATAAATGTGATTTGTGAGGGTGACATGATGCTCCTGAGATTATTGGTGTGGACCTTGCTCTCCCTGTCCAGGTGCAGGATGTGGAGACTTCATTACCCAAACAGAGCTGGCACGGAGAGTCTGACCCAGCCATCACCCAGAATGTGGCAATGCTGAGACACAAGTTATCACTTTGGTCATCCCACCTCATCTCCTCTGTATGGAAAATAATTCCCACTGTGGCCACCTGAGCATTTCCATAGGATACCATAAATAGTAATAATAATTCCAGACATTGAACATCCACCCAGGCTTTGTCCCCATGATTGTGGAGATGAAGCATCCCAGAACTTTTCCAAGGCAGGAAAAATTATGGCAGTGAAGTTCTGGATGGTTCCTTTGTATGTTTTTATCCAGACACATTCAGATGCTTCTAACTTCATTATTTTCAGCACAGAAAAGGCTAAAATCCCTGAGATCCAGAAGGATTTCTCATCAGGATAGCTTTGTTCTAGTAGCAAAGGTTACAACCAAAGAAAATGTTAAATGGAGACAACTCAGCTTTTTTTGGGCTGTGAAATGGGTTCAGAGAAAAATCAATTTATTGCTCCAAGCCAAGAAGTTCTGCAGCACCTCAAGATATGCCTGGATGCTCCAGCTTCCCACCTGACAATGGCTCTGCTGTGCAGAAGTGCCTTAAATCCTTCTTGAGTTTTTCCACTGTTTAGAGCATTAAATTCACTAAAAAATCCCCAAGAGGCAGCAACTGAACAACTTGCACTCAA